TAGTTTTACACACCGTCTGATTTTACTTTCTCAGGACTTAAAACAGTTTTTTGGGGGCAGACCCCCTCAAAGAAAAAAAATATACACACGCATACAAGGTCATCATCTTAATAGTTTGTTATGCTCATCGAGTCATCCGTGAGCAGAGCATCAAGTTGGCATGTCTATTACAGCTGAATGCGGCGATTAATATTTTGTTCAGCAAAACGCCTCACAAACGTATTAAGATCCAAAGCTTTAGTGCGTTTTGATTCAATGCTGAGTACAGCCAAACTTGACATTCTCTTCTCTGTCATTGTAGATCGCAAATACCTCATTCCTTCCGTCTACTTGGGTCCGAAATGCTTCTCGATCATATTTCCAGTCTCGCGCCAGGGCCGGGGGAGGGGTTACAAGACTCGCGTCTTGTGCTGCATTCACTTGCACTCGGACATTAGAGATTTTCTCTCATAAATGTCCGATGAGCCACAACTTTTCTTTCAAAACAAAGATGCCAACTGGGGTGGCAGCTGGGGTGGCAAGGCTATTGTTTAGGGTGGCAGTTGCCACCCCATGCCACCCCGGTAGATCCGCCCCTGGTTACAGGTAATTGCTAAAGCTCTGTATAGTTGCAACATCTATACACAAATATATACATATAAACAAACTGCTAAGAATTCAAATGTCCTTTTTCCGCGGCACTCACTATGGCCCGTGTTATTTGCCTGCACTTGATTTGTCATCTCTTTTAACAATGTTCTTCCCTCACTTTATCTTCTCTTCACGTGAAGCTCTCCTCTCCTCAGCTGGTGTAGTAGTTAGGCACGCTAACGCTAGCTATATAAATATGACGCTCTATGTATAAAAACAAAACTTACCTTCTTATATCTTTCTCCACTTAAATGAACTTTCTGTCCTCTCGATTTCCATCACTCTTGTTCGTTCTCTCTATGTCTGGTCAGACATCAATCTGTTCCACGTAGCGCGCCCCCTAGAGGCCTGGAGCACTTCCGGAATGTTTTTTTTGTGTGTGTTTTGGGATTTGTACGTGCTTTGGACTTTGCATATCATTTTGGTATTTGCAGCGTTTTTTTGTTGCGTTTGTTTTCGGGGTTTGTGTGTTGTATTTAGTTTGCAACATTTCTGTAAATGCAGCGTTTTTCTGTTGTATTTGTTTTCAGGATTTGTTTGTTTTTCATTTCATTATTTGCAGGTGTTTCCTGCTTATGTATGCGTTTTGGGCCGTTGTTCCGCGTTTGCACCTGCCGGCCACCGTACAATGTATACTTTTGTAGCAACACTATTTTTATATAATGGCAAAGAAAGGGTTCAGTGTCTTTTCTTTTTTCCTGTATCATATGTGGCAGCACTGTTCAATGTTTCTTGAAAACATTACCCACTGTAGTGTGACGTGTGAATAAACTCCAACTCTGTATCAACAACACTGTTGTGTAACTTCAGTTAAATACTTGTATGTGTGTAGATTAGAAAGAGGTAAGATAAAGGATCTGCAGTATTTTATGAAGTATTCATCGTACAAAGGTCAGTTTTATACAAGTAGAAGTGTGTATTTACCTGGTAGTAGGCTGTCAGTAATGGCTACGCCTCTCTATTTGGACTGGTAGATCTCGGCAGACTGGCAACTTTAAAAGTAGCTCTCGGTTCAAAAAAGGTTGGGCACCCCTGCCATACAGTGATGGGGCTCAAATCAGTATTTGCAATGTAATTACATACACGCTCCCCTTGACAGTGAAACGCCACGCGTGAGGTTTAGATTATTTCCCTGTCTCAATTCAAATTGAACTGTATGAAATAAAAAGGCACATTTGTCTTGTAGTAAATAAAAAGGGCGACCTGGAGCCAATCCTGCAATTTACCCACAAGTGAAAGAGTTGACATGCTGAAAACCCAACCCCTGCAGGCGGGTCTGGGGGGATTCTCCCCCAGGAGATTTTTTGAAATACTAACATAAAATACACATTCGTTTGTGTGTATTGTGTTTGTTTCCCTGCTGTGACGTTAAGTTACTGCTTGTAATTATGCCTTTACAAGCTTCAAAGTTGTATTTATCATCTGAATTTGGCGAAACAAGTTGAATATTCTAAAAACCAAGACTTTGTTTATTTGAAATCAGATGAAAACAAACTGTCACGGACCCTGCCGTGTTATCTATGATTACTATACGCTTTTCATTCATAATTTCAGCGGGAGCGAGGGGGAACGGCGCTGAGGAACAGCAGAGGTGTCTGTGTTGACATTCCCCTCATTTTGGAATAAGGGAAATGCAGAGACAGGCTACAAGTGTCTTAGGTTCAAGTTAGACAACTTAGGGCTGCACGATATTGGAAAAAACTGACATTGTGATTTTTCCCCCCCCTGCGATATATATTACGATATGAAAACATACAGGAATTGAAGAAAAGACCGTTTTTCTTCCCACAAACCATCCTTTCTTGAACTTTAATGCTATACAATTGGTATTTTTTAAACTATATTTAACCGGATGAAGGATTTTAGTCACGGACGTCTGGATCTTAAGTTTTTTTTTAAATCGTCACATCCTGCGATATCGCGCATGCCCATATCGCGGTTATCGTCACGACACGATATATCGTGCAGCCCTAGTTGGGTTAGTGTTCATGACTTCATGTTTATGTCATCTTAATGGTTATTCTCAATGCACACACATTTCCCGTGCTTTCCAATAGTTTAAAATAGTTTTATTCCACTGTTTAATAACCTGTTCAATACAAACATGCCACTTCTAAAAATTAAATAACATTTCTGTGAACTGATATTTGTTTAGTGAGTTTATTAGAGGATGCTCCTTGAAAGATTGTAAAATGTCAATGAAGATGTCAGACTTAGTATATTTGTTAATAATTACATACAACACATGGAATTTGTGTGTGTGTGTTCCAAGTGAATCTGCGGCCCCCTGGTGGCCAGTGAATCAATTATGTGGCCCCCACCACCATCAAAGTTGCCCATCCCTGGTCTACTTGGATCCAAAATGCTTCTCGTTTTGCGCTGTCCCCCGTTCAAATGAAATCGCCGCCAATCATATTTCCATGCTTGCGCCAGGGGGGGAGGGGTTACAAGGCTCGCGTCTTGTGCTGCATTCATTTGCACTCGGACATTAGAGATTTTCTCTCATAAATGTCCGATGAGCCACAACTTTTCTTTCAAAACAAAGCTGCCAACTGGGGTGGCAGCTGGGGTGGCAAGGCATTTTTCTGATGTGGCAGCTGCCACCCCGTGCCACCCCGTAGAACCTTCACTGTTTCACACACACATATGCCAGACATTTTTGCATACATTCACAGTAAATATGTATTCAGTATGATAGCTGTCTGAGTACAGAAGTTAAATTAATTTCTCACTTATTCTGACAATGTACTTAACTCCAAATAAAAGACCCCAATAAAAACAGTTGTTAAATAATAGTGAAGTCACGTTGTAATAACAATAACTCATCTCTCTCGCTTTTTTGAGTTTTCCCATCCTACAGGTTGCTAGATGTATCTAACCCTTTCTCCTGTCTCCCTCTTTCAGCACAAGAACCCCAGGGGGATTCAATGGAGCCTGAAGACCTGCAATGAGACCCTCACCCTGCACCTGAGTCTCAACTCCCAGAGCTTTGCAAGCTTCTGCCTGTTCCTTATTTTTATTAAACAGACGTTAAGCTTCCCGATGGTGTGGTCTTTGTTTAGTGAAAAATATGATTACCTCACATATGTTGTTGCTGTTGTTGTCTTTTGTGATAGTTAATTTGCTCCTGCTGACTTGAGCCAGACATTCTTTCCTCCTCTCTGTCAGTGGGGAAACCGTACATTCATACTCCTTTCTCTGAGCGATTGGAGCATCCCCAGGCAGCACAGCAAACCATGGGGGAGACTATATGCCAGGACAACAGAGGAAAAGGCACAGACAAACGGCATGATATGCTATTCAATGTTTATTGAATTCCATTTATTTACTGTCAGTTGACAATCATTGATAGGCACCTGTCGGTCTCCTGTCCTTTCTGAAAGTCATAAAGAAGACATTACTCATTTAGATTACTTATGTCCTCAATTACCAGGGGATTACTGAAACCACCATGAATTAAAGAAATTGTAGAAATGAATCTAATCTGAATTTTGAAACCTTCCTTCCCTCCCTCTAAATATATCAAACAGTAGGAAGTGATGCTCCTGACTACCATTCAAGTTTAAGAAGATAATATTTGTTTTAAACAATTCAAAGCAATAAACAACAGCAACAGGCTCTTTAACCAAGGCAACGTTAGCCTAACATGTATTAACAGGTAAGATAGCTGTTCACACTATGTATATTTTCTGCTATTTTATTTCTATTTGAGATGTTTACATTTTCGATTGTTTAATTCTAGTCTTTTAACTGTCTTATGTACAATGCCTTGTCTTTTGCTGCTGCAAAGCAAACATTTCCCAAATTGGTATCAATAAAGTACTTCTTATTTTATCTTAATCCTCAAATATTAGCAAATGTAACTTTTTCAAATATTGATGTAACTACATACACATCGATATGTTGTATACATATTGCAAATCAAAACCTTTATTCACTACTTATTACCGTAGTTCTATCTCCGGTAATCATGCATTCAAATGTCCCACCACGAACTTCCGGGGAACTATTGAGTCTCCCTGAACCACGTGACGATCAAGCATTTTGGTCCTCCGCTGTCGTAACTCTTCTTCTCTTCTCTGATGTTATAGAGGCTTCTCAATACTCAAATTTCCCCTCCTCTCTCCTCGGTTACCCTCCTCGGTCCTCTGCTCGCATCTCCTGTGGGCGGGACTAAGTCTCGAGGAGGGGAGTCGAGGAGGGGAAATTTAAGAATTGAGAAGCCTCTTATGACACAGAACTGCTACCCCGGAAACAGGATGCAACGCGTCATCTGTGAAGCTCGTCACGTGCCTCAAAGGTTGATAAGGAGGGGCGTTGAGGCTCCGCCCATGTTGAGTTCCCGCCCATCTTGAGGTACTGCGACCATCTCGCACATGCGCACTGCAGATCGGGCAGGGCTGCAGATCGGGTAGTGACGGTAGTGACCTACAGTCTATGGTAGTGACAGTGACAACGGCTGCTGTCACCACCTGTATTTATTGTCCTCTCAAGACAGGAAGGAGCCATCACATACAGGATATTACAACTAGTTCCTGAACAGCTTCACTTCTTAGTGTGAAGAAGAAGAAGAAGAAGAAGAAGAAGAGCGACAAGGACACCCGAGGACTCGAGGTATTGTTGGAGATTTAAACTAAATTATTATTTTCGAGTTCCCTGTTCATGTTGACGTGAGCTTTGAAGTCGAATGAAGGCTAAATTCTAACATTTCATACTTTGTTTTGTCACTATTTAAGTTTTTAACGATAAACTGCTGGAAATTGGTCGAACTGAATATAAATGTTGCCTTTAAAGGAATCGAAACTAGTGCAAGAATAGCGCAAGTTAAGTTTCGTTTCTCCCTCGCAACTCAGAGCCCAGCCCACTGCAGTTTCATGATGGCGGCGATGGACCAGAGTCCATTTTCTCTGTTGAGTCTGGAGGAAGAGCTGAGCTGCAGCATCTGTCTGTGTCCCTTTGACTGCCCGGTGACCATCCCCTGCGGACACAACTTCTGCCAGGACTGCATCCTCGCGAGCTGGAAGGACTCCTACAGCTGTCCTCAGTGTCGGACCCACTTCCCCACCAAACCGGAGCTGAAGAAAAACACGGTCCTCAGCACCGTCGTGGAGACCTTCAACCTGCGGTCGACCAAGAGCGAGGCCGACCTGGGGACAGCAGAGGACAGCCAAGCGGAGAGCCAGGATGTCATACGCTGTGATACATGTATGGAAGCAGAAGCGGCGCAGACCTGCCTCACCTGCATGGCCTCTTTCTGCGAGGAGCACCTGCGGCCTCACCGGGAAAACCCAACATTTAGAGTCCACCAGCTGAGTGAGCCTGTCGGCGACCTGTCCGAGCGCATCTGCCCAGACCACCACAAGCTGATGGAGCTCTTCTGCAGCCAGCATTGCCGTCCCATCTGCAGCCTCTGCCTCCAGCTGGTCCACAAAGGCTGCTCCTTTATGTCCCCGGAGGAGCAGAGGAACCTGAAAGAGGTGTGTGTGTGTGTGTGTGTGTGTGTGTGTGTGTGTGTGTGTGTGTGTGTGTGTGTGTGTGTGTGTGTGTGTGTGTGTGTGTGTGTGTGTGTGTGTGTGTGTGTGTGTGTGTGTGTGTGTGTGTGTGTGTGTGGGTGTGTGTGTGTGTGTGTGTGTGTGTGTGTGTGTGTGTGTGTGTGTGTGTGGTTGTGGTGTGTGTGTGTGATGTGTGTGTGTGTGTGTGTGTGTGTGTGTGTGTGTGTGTGTGTGTGTGTGTGTGTGTGTGTGTGTGTGTGTGTGGGTGTGTGTGTGTGTGTGTGTGTGTGTGTGTGTGTGTGTGTGTGTGTGTGGTGTGTGTGTGTGTGTGTGTGGTGTGTGTGTGTGTGTGTGTGTGTGTGTGTGTGTGTGTGTGTGTGTGTGTGTGTGTGTGTGTTCACTGCATTAAAGCGTTATATGTCATACCACACAATGCTGAGATTTGACAAGTAATGTTACAGGTTTAAATTTACAAAATAATCTTAATGATACTTTTCTGAATGTGTCCTGTTTCTCTGTTTTATAGTCCGACCTGAGAGGCAAGTTGGCTATCCTGGACGAGAAAATAATGAAGAACGAGCGAGTTATTTCGCATATTGGTGACATGGAGGACAAGCTAAAGGTAGTCCTGGATACTTGACATTTCATTATTTATAATTCTTATGAATTCCAAAAAAAGAGTTTCTTGAAAGAAGAAGAATAAATAAAGGAAAACATTAAGTGATTATTGTTCATTTGCAAACCATAACACTGAGATGTTGCTTTGTGTGATATAACTGTCATTTTCTCTAACCCCTGTATTTACTCTTTTCCTTTTGCCTACTGATGTGTTCTGATTCTCTTAGGACTCAGCGACCAACAGGAAGAAGGCCCTGGCAGCTGAGTATCAGCAGATCCGGGATATGTTGGCCCGAGAGGAGAGTGAAGCTCTGACTGCTGTTGACTGCGAGCTGCAGAGTGGTCAGACTAAGCTTAAGGGTCTCTCAAAGAAGTTCAATGAGAACGTTGTTCATATGAGTAAAGCTAAAGAAGACATCATCAGTCTGCTGAGTCAGTCCCAGACTCTTGCCTTCCTACAGGTGAGTCAATCAATCCGCAAAAACCTATCCTTTAAACAGCCTTCAAAGACACTAATCACGCTGTCTGTTTAATAGTGTTTATAATAATGTTATATTTAAAATCACAACCTTTTATCTTTTTTTTTTAAATGACAGTATTCCACTCATAATAGATACACAATAGAAAATAAAAAAGCTTATTTCCAATGCATTGCATAAAAACAGTTTGTTCTTCTGCCTCCAGGCGTCAGTCAACCTGCCAAAGGCTGCCAGCTTTGACCCTTACACCCCTCAAATCAACCTGGATTCTAAGAAGGTGAAAGCCACGCAGGACTTTTGTGCAGACCTGAAGGAGCACCTGACGGAGATGTTTAAACCGCCTGTTGAGGACAGACTGCGGATACGCAAACCGGGTGAATGTGCAGTTACACTTTTAATGGGAGATTTAACATTTTGAGGTGCATAATGGGATAATGATAAAGCCAACTTTTGTTGCAAAACATAACATGGGCGTCTGGAGAGCTTGTGTTGTGAGATACTGGAATTTAACTCCAATGTCTTGTCCACTGTTTATGGCTCAGCAACGGAAAGCACTGGACCTCATCCCATATCTGGTATGTTAATCTCTGCTTTTAACCTATAATATAATACAATATCAATATGTATGATAAACTCACGTCTGCACAGCTTTGAAGTCGCTGAAAAATGCAAATATTTGCTTCACGATTGCAAAGGCAATTTAGGTGTTCCTATATCCTATTTGTAGTAGCTGTTATCGTCTGTAGCTGTTAGCATCTGCCGTGTCTGGTAAGAACAGACCCTGTTCAGCTAATAAAGTCGAACAAGTGTTCAAAATAATACCGTATGAAGAATCTAAACAAAATAATATAACATCCCAATCATTTTCATATATAGATCCTACACAATACTGTAGTTTTGATAAAATAACGTTTTGAAAATCTGTGTATGGCAAATATGCTTTTGCATTTTGTGATACAATGAGTGCACAAAATGTCTTCTTATTTTACCTTCTCTCTTTCAGAATTCAACAATCTTCCAAAGCAGAAAAGGCCCCCCAGGTCCCACAGTCCAGGTCGTCCCCTCATCGAGTCATTATACCAGCCAGTTTACATGGGGTCACATCCACACCACTTTGCACCCCAGCATCAACCAGGCTACAACAGGGATCTCCATTTTATGGCAGGACAAAAGACAAGTAAGAAAGGTTTAAATTGTACCATTGTACTCGCAGAGGTCGAACAGCACACCACCTATCTTAATGAATATCGTAGCTCTTTAAAACGTCTGTCATTGGAATCTTTTGAAAGATGCTAGTGCAGGTCCATTTCTAAGTGGGAAACTTTACAGTTGAATATGGATTGAGAAAGAATAGTGAAGCCATTCATGTACAACTTTGTTGCACTTGCACATATTAACCCTGGCATTTTAGGTGAGTTGGTTTATGGTGGAACCAAAAATCCAGAAAATCAAAGAAATGATGCGACTCTTACTTGATTTCAAGATATTCCTCAAGTTGGTGCTAATCGTTTGGTGGTCAGGGATGTTCAACTATCACAAGGTGAATTCATTTTAGTGATCTCATTTCTAAGACTCAAATACAAGAGCAGCTTTCTAAATCACTTCTTTTTTTTTTATATATTGAGTAGTGCTGGGGGGAAACGATTATTTTGAAAACGATTAATCGGGCGATTATTTGATCGATTAGTCGACTAATCGAACGATTATTTTTCTGTTGTTCAATTCATAAAAAACGTAATGTAAAAAAAAGTAATGTAAAAAATTTTTTTTCCACGATACTGTGTCTCAGGGGATCTTAATATTTAAGAACCTATTAATGTGTTATACCAGATTAACGGAAATAATCTCAGCTAACTGACGATACAAACCATGTTTACCAACACAAAACAAAACATAAGTCTCATAAGAAGCAAACTAAAATGCTATCTAAATGACCCCTGAGCGAAAAATGCTAACGGACATTGGCATAGAACTCAAGATAACCCTTATTACTTATCGTAGCTGCACATACAAGATATCCGATTAAAGCTGAGACTCCACAGATTATGTAGGTATATAGTATCATCACTGAGTGATCCGGACTCGCGACAGGGGAAGCAAATACAGTCATCACAACACGTACCTTCACAGAGCTTCTAGGGAGATCGTCTCACCGCCGTAGCTGTCAATCTGATCAAAATACGTGTTCAATGGCATTAAAATGAGAAAAAACGCGGCTGAATCGGTTAATCCATAGGTTTTTAACGTCTATGTATAAAAAAATTATTGAATTTATAATCCATAATTCCATTTTTATGTAAACATCGGAGAGCAAATGCTAGCTGCTAATGGTTGCCACCACAGCTAGCTGCTGCTTCCGGTCAAGCAGCAGTCTCAGTGAGATATAAATATATAAATATCTTTGCGTTTTGGACTAACTTTAAAATATTCCCATGCTTTTGAAGACCTGGGGCGAGATGTTTTCGTTTGAGGGCTTCGTGCGCAATCCTGTGAGGAGGAGTTGGTAGCCGTTTCAGTCTCCATTGTGTTAGAAGTGCGATTGCGAACTGCTTGTTGCTTTGGGTGACCCACGTGTGTGTGGCGACCATATATACAGTCTATGGTGTCGACGCGGAAATATGTCGTCGACGATATTTTGAAGTCGACGCGTCGCTACAGCACTAATATTGAGAAAACATTTCTCTCCGACACACTGGACAAATAAAGAGCTGTTTGAACATTAAAGCATGTAAACATGTCACAGTAGAGGCACAACATACACATTTTAAACTGAAAATGAGCATAAGACTCCTTTTTAAGATAAGACTTTAAAAAAATGGATCACCAGAATGAATTGTTCTCACTTGCCTTATGATGTATGTTTTGAAAACAACAAGGGGCTTTTAAGAACACATGAGGATTGCGTCTGGCTCTAGTATTACATGTTCCTATTCTTTTGCTTCTCCCTCTCTCAGAGCCGCAAAGGACAGGTCCAGGCTCTCAACACAAAGCAGGCCCAAAGGAGAAGTCTCAAAGTAAGAAATAGTCTATATTTGGTCCCACATATGGATAACACTCAAGTTTATGCGCAACAAATTCTACCTTTTTATGAAAGTTATAATATTCGGTTTTTTAAGTTTAGTTTATTTATTTAAAGGACAGTGCACATTAATCCACATTGCTGTAAATGAGCCAGTATTAGCCAGCAGGCTAATTTTCAACTGTTGTCCTTGGCAAGATGTTAAATGACCACAACAAGACTAGAGAAATAAAAACATAATTAAATAGAGTACAGCAGACAACAGCAGTACAACATAAGGAGGTGTTGATTCAACTTAACGGTCATTTTGGATGTGGTAGTTTTGGTGCTATTGAACTCTTAATGTGTCCTACTGAGACCTGTTATTAATATGTTGTCCACCCCATTTATATCAATGAGAGAACGTGTGTGATGTGCTTGTACTTGTTTGTTGTTTAGTGTAAGAAGTATGTTTTAATTATTGTGCATGTTGATTTGCTATTGAATAAGACTTAAAGGGACAGTTTTGAAGTGAAGGCCAGTTTTATTTCTCTATAGTCACTACGTAACATACAGTAGAAGGCTGTTGGCACGTCCCCAGCTTCGAACAACAGACATGTTTTATTTATTTTTTTAGATGGCTAAAATAGGTTTTGCTGCTGCCACTGTCCACAGCAGTTCAATGTACCGTATGTTTCTTCAGACTGGGGTGTTCTGACCTTTTTCTCCTGTACCTTTTATACAAACCCTGTTTCAAAACATCAGAAATATCCCTTTGACAGCTCTTCAGAATTAAGACTGCAGTTAAATAACAAATGTACTATCTTTTTTTATCTTCAGAACCAAAATCTCACAAAGCTCCAAAAGACAATATTGGACAAAAGAATGAAGAACGCTCAACAGAAAACCTCTTGGATTTAGGTGGGATAATCCAACCCAGAAGCAGTACTCCTCCAGCTTATTTGAATAAACCAGGTAGAAGCCATTCAATAAAAGAGTACTCCACTGATTTACTATGACAACATCTTTTGGAGTAAGAAAAACTCACATCGATTCAGCTGGACCAGATGATTTTATTCTACAAATGTTCTCAAAACCTTCCACCTAAATTGCAAACGGGCAATTAGCCAGTCTGCCTTCTTTTTTCAACGTGTTCACCTACTAGTCGTCCTCAACACCTGTGAACAGACCTAAATGCTAATCGTTGGAGATGCCATTTTTTAAGATGCTCTTTTCAATTGTTTTCTTTGCCTAAAGACAAATTAATTTGTTGTCTTCTGTTGCAGAAATGTCAGACATTCCACCAAGCATAACATCTGCTGAAAAAAGAACCGAACTTTTGAAATGTAAGTGTATGATTGTAGGAGGCATCATCCCCTATTATGGTATCAACAAAGTTTGTTGTGAAAATGTTGATTTTTGTCCCTACCAGATGGTACAGTTCTCACTTTGGATCCAAAGACGGCCCACAAACGCATCGCTCTGAGTGAGGGCTTCACTAAGGCCTCTGTGTCAGATGAACACACAGACTATCCCGACTTCCCTGAACGCTTCTCGGTCTGCTCCCAGGTGCTCGCTCGTCAGAGTTTCTCTCAAGGCCGCCACTACTGGGAAGTGCGACTGAGCTGCAACAACTTCATTGGCGTAGGCTTGGCTTACAGAAGCATTGACCGCAAAGGTCCCACCAGTCGACTGGGCCGCAACGACCAGTCCTGGTGTATCGAGTGGTTCAACGTCAAGCTGTCCGCTTGGCACAACAGCAATGAGACCGTGCTGGTCAATCCCGATCCCAAGCGCGTAGGCGTGCTGTTGGATTGTGACGAGGGCACTGCTACGTTCTATAACGTGGCAGACAGGGCGTATCCCTTCCACACCTTTGTGTTCCCCTTTGCCCAAGCTGTGTGTCCAGCTTTCTGGATTTTCTCAAGTGGCTCGTCCATTTCTATGTGCAAGCTTCAGGCATGAGGAGCATATGCACAGAATTGGCGATGCGGGCACACTCGTAATACACAGCCTTTTCTTCTAAATACACTCATAATAATGAAATATAATACACTGCTTTGTTCACTTATTAAGACATTCCCTGTTAACCCACCTCCAGCTAACATTTAGTCAAAATCAATTGAAGTTGCAACTAAATGGTTCTTTGTGCTGTTGGAGTGTTCAGGTGAAACTTGATTGTCCCCACTTTTAGTGCTCGCTGATTTAGCTTGGCTTTAACAAAGAAAATGAAGGAATAACTCAAATGTGTTTGTCTGAAAATGTCAGCACACAGTCCTTATCTTCTAAACTTAAATGGACTCGCATGCAAACGATAGCGCCATCGCTGTTGTCGTTAGCTATGCTAGCTGTGATTTACAGCAGCTGAATTTTTGGTTATGTGACCAAAAACGATTAAGACTGCTTTTCTAAACACGTAAAAGCAACATGCTTCGTGTTTTCCAGTCTATAAACTGCATCCCAGGTGGTTTGAACACACCTGAGCATCGATATGACTTCTGTCATTAGGATTAGAAGAAGCAAACAGAACGCCGCGCACTGTACTCTTACCGTACAGCATGTGTGTGCTAGTCTTTCTCCTGTATGGTGACTGTGACTGGATAAAGAAGTGAATTATTACGTCACGCTCCAGCATGTGTCAGTACAGTGTTTTCATATGTCCGCATGTGGAAAATGTACGATCGTTTTGGAGTGCATTGAAGTTAAGGGCTGGGCGATATGGCAAAACATTTGATCAAGTTATTTGTTTTTCATTCTGATGACCTTTAAAATATTTCTTACAGTCTCTAAATCGTTTTACCTTTTGATCCAAAATCAATAATCAACCATCCGTGTTTAATGGCTTGTGCATTTCAGACTACTTTAAAAAATGCTAATAATTATGATAGAGATTAAGTTGAAAATGTAAAATAAAAAGCTCAGAAATTGACAAAAAACGCCAATGTTCTTTGATACTATACAGGTATACATTTGCAAAAAAAACTGAATTGTTCCCGCAAATGAATGCCTCTTATAATATGAGAATATTGGAGGGTTTTTTCTCATTATTGTTCAGTTTTTATCTCCCTAACGTTCAATTGCTAATTTACGCCACTGTAAGGTTGCAAGTTGATTGGCTAGAACATAATTAGTTTCTGCGATGTGATTGGCTGTTCCATGTGCGAGAGCAGAGTACAATGCAGTAGTTGGTATTAGCGGTGTTACAGTGTTTTACAAATGCTGATTAAATGATGAGCCATTCAACATAAAAGAATCAGAATCTTCAACAATCTTTTCTTGTTATATCTCCCGTGTAGTCAATAACACAGGTGATGTCTCCAGTTTATTAACCGATGGAAAAGGTTTCCTCAACCGTGGCATCGCTTCCCTACTGACCATGTATTGACATTTTGTTTATCAAGAAAAGTGCATATATCGTTATCGCCCAGCTCTAAAGCGTCACTTCCTCAACTCTTTTTCGGCTGATGTGAATTAAAGTCATATAGACAAGTTCCATCAAGTTTTGATGAATCTTTCCTTTTGATTGTTTTTATTGGATGTTACCTTTTTATTGGTGACGTTAGAGCAGTGGTCACCAACCTTTTTAAGCCCAAGATAACCGACGTCGGCCTAGGTGAAAGGCGAGATCTACCTATTGCAGAATTGAGTGAAAAAGACGGCCCAGGCAGTGCTTCCAATTTGCCGTCCTCTCTTGTGTCACGATGAGGTTCACGTAAAGCACGGTTAATGTATTATATTATTGAAGTGTCTCAAATATACGTTAATCAAGTGGCATCTGCTAACGGGGTGGTGGATGATAGGTTTACATCTAAAAACGTATTTTTCAAACATTATTATTTTTATTTTATTTTTCTTTCTTTTGTTACTTGTTTTTTTAACGGTCCGCGATCTAGCCGCACCACACTCGCGATCGATCGACTGGTTGGCGACCACTGCGTTAGAGGAAAGAATTTAGGGAAAGGAAACGGGTGTTGTTCTTGCATCCTTTACTCCATAGATGTACATTGATATACAATTTCACATCTATGGTGGGCAAATTAAACTAACAAGCCATCAGCCTGGTCTGTTGGCTTTGTGTAAGGTGGTGTGAAGCTAGTTAGCTGTATAGTTTCACAGGGGTTAATTATTTGTTGTGTGATACAAAGTTTACCCCGGCTTGTAAGATGATGATGTCCCGCGAGGGTGCTCATCTTGTGCTAAATCGTGTGAAACAACAAACTGTATGGGTGTCTAGCAGTAGAGATCTGTCTACACAACATGCGGTGGTACGTTCACGGTGAAGTTAGCCGTTTGAACACAGTTCTCTGTTCTAATAACCTCACAGGTTTTTAAAAAAAGAAAGTTTTTCCTTGATGATTTTGCTGAAAAACTGGTAAAGGTTTGTGTTATGGAAATAATTGTCATAGACGCCAAGATGTGACATACAGGACAAACCTTGATGTCTGTTTACCTTCTTTAAGGACACAGGCTGCTTAGCCAATAATGTTATTGTTCCCATTCTGTGACCGGTCAATACTGGGTCACAGATGGTCTGTGTTGTGGGTACACTGGGACACTTCCTTCTCTGTATTTGTGGACTCCAAGGTAAAATCTTCGAGGTCATAAGTGTCCGACGCAAGTAGCTCAGTGTTCCCACACTGTTTAGGCTATCTTCTCAAATATGTTGTTTACTCTCTGCGAAACCAGTTAGATGGGCTGGCAAGAGAGAGGCTCTCCAGAATTGACGTGGCAACTCTACCGTGGAGTCAGAACCTCTGACTCTTGGATTTGTGATGTGAATACTCTGGTACCAACTCCAAATAAATCACAGTGGTTTGACATCAAAGCTCCGACTCTTCCCGTGTCTCCTTCCTGAGTCGGTGACTCCACTGCATGCTACACAGAAGTTTCCTCTACAGTTTGGACGTGATCTCAGTTTTGAGTCTTAATGGTTGGATAAGTTCAAATATCTCAGATTCGTTTCAGGCAATGCACTTCAGGTACAGTGTTATTATTAGGCTCCATGCTATTGTGTGAAGGAACCGTACATCATTGCATGTAAAGTCTGAACCTGTATAATGAAATCTGCTGTTTTCTGTTAACACAAGTCAACACAATGAAGAGCTGTGGTTTGGGACACAGCTCCGCAGACTCCTGTGACGTGATGATCATTTTGTTTGTTTGCCGTGCATTTACTGAAACTGTGTTCATTGTTCTTCGCATCATATATGGTCGAGGGTTGTATAACACTTGAACTGTCAAACCAAACCAACCTGTGTGTAATGCTTAATGTACGGTGGTTGTTTTCAGGTGTTTGCCATTGTCTTAAAATTCCAGTGATTATGGCTCTTTTACATTAAATCAATCTCTAAATAAATAAACCAATGCTTACTATTAATAAAGTGTGCTCTATCAAAAACGTTTCTTTTCTTTTTGTGAAGACACAGGTGGTTAAAATAGCACTCGTACATTTTTGGAAATTCTTCCTGTTATTTCTTACCAATAAGTGATAGAATCGATATCTTCAGACATCTGTGGGCCGTTCATATGCAGAGAGATTACATTTATATATTGTCCTCACAGGAAAATTGAAAACTATATTTGATCCTCAAAATGTCAGTGTTACTCTTGATCTGATGAACATTTGGGAATCCCATTAAATATGCTTTTCCTGCTCGTTCTCATCTATTCAGAAGTAGAGGCATCACACAGCTAGCAACTAGTTGCAATTCAGCCTAATGAAAAGCAATTTTTAAAAGCAATATACTTTCTTTTTTTTTTACAATGTAAAACTCTATCTTTGCATCATTGGCTTGCAATATCATTGTAACGATGCCATGGCCATTACAAAAATTATATATTAGGATACCTGAAATAGTGTGCCATATAGTAAAATCCTTAAAAGTCTGATTTAAGAGTTCATTATATGTCACATCATTAATCCAAATCTGCACAGTAACTAAAGGTATTAAATATAGTGGGCTAAAAGTCAATTTAACCTCTGAATTGGGTAGATTTACGACTTTAGTTGTTTATCTTAATTACAGTTTACATTATGTATTAATCATGCTATAATCATGTCTGTGGGCTTAAAGGTCTAAAGCAGGGGTGGGGAACCTTTTTCCTCTCAAGGGCCATTTCAATTTGTTCAACATCCTCCGAGGGCCACACAAATTATTGACCTCTGCTTAAAAATCACAGCCCATTTCATTTGACCTTTCTTTCATTCTGTGCAAAGAAAAAGCAACCTCTTAATCCAGATATCTCACCATGACTCGCGCATGCATGCACGTGCACGGTGTGGCATGACCACCAAACAGAAAGATATGGACACAAGATGTGTGCAAATGTATTTAGTTTCCTATCCATGGACATGATTTAAGTGGGGGGGGGGGGAACCTAACCTCCTCTAGGGGGGTCCAGGGGGGCATGCTCCCCTGGGAAGATTTGTTTTTAAATATTGAAGTTAAAAGCATCAATCTGGTGCACTTTGAGAGCAACATGAAGAGATCTATGGAAACATCTCTCAACACCCATTTGAAACAGAACTGGAAGCAGATTTACTTTTTCTTTATGGATATTTTACAAATCACTCCCCTTTTAAACTGTATTCTTCTTTATTAATAACAACTTTTTTTTACTGTCATATAGTATTTTATACCTGTTTACTTTATTATCTTATTTTTTGATAACTATAATGATCATATAAAGATGTGCCTTTACCTCACTGGTTGTGGAAAAAGCTTCTTATATTTGTTAGCATAGCTAGCTAACCAGATGCTAATAACAACAAAGTTATGATCAGGATGACAGATGAACAGATCGCCACTGGGCTTTCAACTAAAGACACAGACACGCAAAAACTGCAGCATGTGTACGGACCGGTACGGATTTATGGGTACTGCCATTTTTTGAAGTCCCGGAGCGGCGTTCTGGTGCTCTCCGTCAGAATTGCACCCCCGTCAGACGAGACATATACCACGTGATGACACGTTAGGCTCGTGTTGTGTTCAAGGACCATGACCGTTGCCAGGAAAAACAGGCACTCGCTTGTTTAATTATTTTGCGGTCTAGATTTCTTTAATTTTTTTCTTTTTTGCGTGTGTTTATAAATTACCTCGAGGGCCATACCAAATGGTCTCGCGGGCCGTATACGGCCCGGGGGCCGGAGGTTCCCCACCCCTGGTCTATAGGCTTCTAGGCTATATGAGAGCTATGACAAAGCCCGAAAACTGTAATCAGTAACAGGGCTTGCTGGGACTTTGATGTCCCTGTTGGGCATGTTACATGGACTAACATTCGTTTCTTGGAAACTAACCCTAACCTTAAGAACTACTTCTTAAGGTTAAGAGAGCGAGAACGAGCGAGAGGGAGAGAGAGGCAGGCTTCGTCAGAAGTCATGAGTTTCTCCCTCTTATCAGAGATAACACACACTATATTGCCTGAATGTTTCCCAGAGAGCTTAGTTAGCTGCACCAGCGGAGCAGGTATGTTGGGGTAAATAAATGTAGTGTATAGACATACGACCTGTTCAGATACATATTATGTGTTTCTTGGTTTACACATTTATTTCTATAACAGGAATATTGTGAGATGATCGATTGTATGTTGAGAGTTGTTGCAGTGAAAGCTTGATGTTTTTTTTTACAATGTTACAACTTTCAAGATATATATAGGTTGTAATTGTTTTTATTTGTATATATATAATATATAGAAAAATCTTCTTACATTTGGAATATATATTTCTTTTTTTACGTCAGATTATTTAAATAAATAATAATTATGTAGATGAATCTGTTGGAAGGGCCCCCTGGAAATGTTTGCATAGACAGACTGTAGAAACGCCACTAAGAACATGATGTGGGTGTGGAAAACACTGTTAGGCAACTTGGTGTTCCTGAAATTGAAAAGTTAAGTTTCGTTTCTCCCTCGCAACTCAGAGCCCAGCCCACTGGAGTTTCATGATGGCGGCGATGGACAAGAGTCCGTTTTCTCTGTTGAGTCTGGAGGAAGAGCTGAGCTGCAGCATCTGTCTGTGTCCCTTTGACTGCCCGGTGACCATCCCCTGCGGACACAACTTCTGCCAGGACTGCATCCTCGCCAGCTGGAAGGACTCCTACAGCTGTCCTCAGTGTCGGACCCACTTCCCCACCAAACCGGAGCTGAAGAAAAAACACGGTCCTCAGCACCGTCGTGGAGACCTTCAACCTGCGGTCGACCAAGAGCGAGGCCGACCTGGGGACAGCAGAGGACAGCCAAGCGGAGAGCCAGGATGTCATACGCTGTGATACATGTATGGAAGCAGAAGCGGCGCAGACCTGCCTCACCTGCATGGCCTCTTTCTGCGAGGAGCACCTGCGGCCTCACCGGGAAAACCCAACATTTAGAGTCCACCAGCTGAGTGAGCCTGTCGGCGACCTGTCCGAGCGCATCTGCCCAGACCACCACAAGCTGATGGAGCTCTTCTGCAGCCAGCATTGCCGTCCCATCTGCAGCCTCTGCCTCCAGCTGGTCCACAAAGGCTGCTCCTTTATGTCCCCGGAGGAGCAGAGGAACCTGAAAGAGGTGTGTGTGTGTGTGTGTGTGTGTGTGTGTGTGTGTGTGTGTGTGTGTGTGTGTGTGTGTGTGTGTGTGTGTGTGTGTGTGTGTGTGTGTGTGTGTGGTATTCCCCTGATAGAAGCTAATTGGGCTTATGAAAGGAATATGAAAGGAATATATATATGGTTATACATATATATGTATATATATACATACATATATATGTATATATATACATACATATATATATATGTATATATATACATACATATATATGTATATATACATATATATGTATATATATACATGTATATATATATATACATATGTATATATATATACATACATATATATATACACACATATATTTATACATACACATATATACGTATATATACATATATACACATACATATATATACACACATATATACACACACATATATATACACATACATATATATACACACATATATATATATACTAGGGCTGTCAAACGATTACAATTTTTAATCAGATTAATCACAGCTTAAAAATTAATTAATCATGATTAATCACCATTCGAACTATTTTCCAAAATATGCCATTTATTTATGTATATTGTTGTGGGAATGGAAAGAAGGCGGATATATCCATTTAACATACAGTATCTATGTTTATTATAAAATGTTCTGCGTGTCAAAATGAAAGACAACCCACACACCTATCAATCATCAAACCGTGGGGTCTTAATTCATTACGTGTTGATTTCTATCAACGGGGGAGTACTTCAGGAAAGTCGACAGAAGGGTGGGTGGGGGGGGGGGGGGGGGGCTCGTGGAGTACTTCTTGACCACAGAGTGTGAACGTTGTGATCAGCTGTTTTCGCGCAGTTCTCCAGTGAAGGGGGGGGGGGGGGAGTCTCCCTCCGCAGCCGGTTGGCATAGTTTTGGCTCAATTCCGTTGTACAGACCGACGTTAACAGCAGCCCTGTCTGTGCACACGGAGACCGACTCTGTCGTCCGGTGATTAGTGATGGCGTGATGAAGCCTTATGAAGCTTTGAAGCTTTCCAGCCAATTGGTTCGCAAAAGGGTTCATCTCATGAGGCTTCATCATGGGCTTCATTTGAACACAAACCCCCCTGTTGGTCAAAGTGTGTAAAACAGGCAGATTGGACATCTCAACAGTGTGCTCCATCATCTCATACCGAGTTCCCAATGAGTAAAGCCTTAGAATAACTCTAAACAACGAACATTAAATCATATTTTCATGTTAACAATATTGTATTTATTCCAGTTGAATGATTGTGATTGAAAAGCCTAAGGAGGCTGGTAAACATTGCAAAGAGGGATTTGTATTCCTTAATAATATTCATAAACTTAACCATGTTGTAGCCTGAGAAAGGCTAAACCATATCAAAGAATACATTATTAACTACATTCTCATTTAGCTGTAGCTTTTATAAACAACAAAAAATACGTATTGTTCAGTCGTTGAACCAGGGACCCTGCGGTCATGAGTCAACTGCTTTCCAGCTGAGCCACAGCACACACACTAAAGCTCCCTGAAAACACTGCAAGATATGTATTCCTGTATTTATTGATGTTTTTATTCCTACATTTATTTATGCTTGTATCTATTTATACTTATGACATGTTCCGACCTCTATAAGTGAGGGTCTGAGCTCTCTTAATTCCATCGTGTCACCGGGCCCGGGTACAGGAGGGGTAATATGGTTCTTATTATACATCCATGGGTATTATGAGCGTTGTGGTTCAACGGTTCAACCGATCTGAATCGCTTTCTGAAGCAGTCACGTGGTATCGACAGGCAGCGAGGCTTCGTTTGTCATCGATGACGTCACTGGCCCAAAACGATACAAGCCTCGATACATGCTTCA